TGTCCCTGCCCATGGCAGGGGGTTGGAACTAAATGATCTTCAAAGTCCCTTCCAACTCAAACCATTCTGTGATTCTATGATTTTTCAAGTCTCTTAGTGGTGGCTTATCTCTGCTGTTGGTGACTTCAAAAAGAACAAGATGGAGCTATCACTTGCACTTCTGATAGTTCCCTGGTTCATATTGTTTAGGTTTTTTGTCACGTATCCAATTTAAGAGCCATGCTTTCAGATTCTTTGCTGACAAGTTAGTGAGGCAGAGGAAGTCACTGCACTGTCATTTATTTTGTTAAGACTGTACTGTTAGAACAATTTGACTGTAATTATAATGTTCATTCCTTTTTAGCAAAGGAGAAATCCATTCAATTCCACTGCATCAGGTGATAACTTGAACAGTGGGGAATCAGAAAACAGACCAGCCACCCTACCTCAGCTATCAAGGAAGGGTAAATATACTTATTTAGCATATGACTGTGAATTTCTTGGTGGTTTATAGGGAAATTATTTTTACTGTCATTGCTTCTTTTTGCAAGATATCAAAACCTGTTTTATCTTAACTACTGAGTTGTCAAGCAGTTCACATCAAATCCCATGTAAAACGTGTGAATACACTTAGGAAATGGCTGCTTATGTGAGTAAATGGGGTTTGCTTCCTTTCTTTTACTCACAGTTCTAATCGGTAGTAAGAACTCAGAGTGGGCTGTTTATCCTGAATTGCTATTAAGAGAACAGAGAAATTTCCTTGAATTTGGTATAGTTGTCTTTATGACCTTCCAGTCATTGCTGCTATTGGCTCAACAGAAGAAGCCTGACTCTCTTTGATCTTTATTATTCTCCTTTGTTTTCTCAGTCCTGCGTGTTTTTGAACCCTCCCTTTCCTGCAGTATTGTCTGCAAGCAAGTAGATGAGTGATGATATGTCACAATGCAGGCATTTCAGGTTGTAACTTACAGGCTCGTATGTGGAAATTGCTCTCCTGTCTCTGTTACGAAGCTTGTTAACAGGAAAAAGGAAGACTTGCACATTAGGAATAAAAAAAATTGAATCTCTCTACTGGGAGTTCACTTCTTCATTTTGCCTTGTTCCATATGAATGTGGAAATAGCCTGGTTTTATTTCTGTAGGTTGCTGTTTGTGTTCTGAGCCTGAAGAGGTTTATGTATATTCAAAAGCCGCCCTTCCCTGCAAACTTTGTCCCTTGCAGGAGTAATGCTGATCAAAAAATTTGGTGTGCTCTCTAGCTTTGGAATTGTCAAACAGTTAATATTTCTAGAATAAGAAATAACTGCAGGGTTTTTATTGCTGAAACTTCCTATTACATAAAAATGAAATCAACACCTATGTTGAATTTCCACCTGTGTCTTACTGCAGATGTTTTTAATAAACCAATATAATCAGTGCAGTCTAGATCTGCACTGTGTCATACCCTTCTGTTTATGCAGATGAATGTCCTGTAAACTCATGATTTCTTCTCTATATGTGTCTTACAGAAATATTATCTCTCTCAGAAGAGAGCCAACCTAAGCCAAACTTACAAAAGGATGAAACAGAGAAACAGAAGAAGCCTTCTGTAGGACCTGCTGATGAATCGCAGAAAGGAGTAATTAAACAACCTATCCCAAAAGCTAGAAAATTAATTCACAAAGCAACAGATTCTGTGTCACAAAGAGAAGAGTTTGTTCCAAAACCAGATAAACGGACTGAGAGGTTTAATGGCATTGGTACACCGCCCAGGGGCATTCTCAAGCGCAGTTCAAGTTCAAGTTCCACAGACTCAGAAGTTCGTGTTAGTCAGATGTTAGATGTTCAGAAAAAGAATGGTCTTCCTACTGCTACTATTTTTGAAGGAGAGGCTGAGAACAACTCTCTTACGGAAGAAGCGGAAGACTCTGCACAAATTTCTCTGGAAAAACTAAAACAAGTGAGGTTTTCGCCTAGCACGGGTAAAGGAGAACCTCTGCAAAGCCCACAGCTACACCATGGTAGAGAAACAGGAGAGTTTGATTTGTTAGAATCTGATGAAATAAAGAGCAGTGGAGGTGATGCTGTTAGATCAGATTCATTTGGGAATAAGCAAATTTCTGCTGTAAATCCTTTGGGAACTTATTCAGCAGCTTTACAAGTAAAACCAACAATAGAGGGCTTACAAGAAGATACATCAGCACCCATCCCTTGTGACACTAATGGGTCAGTCTCTCTGGTTAATAAAACCTTGCAGACAAAGACAGCTACTCCTAAGAAACTTGAAACTCCACAGAAGACCTCCAGCAATATCCTGCCAAATAGCAATAATGAACTGAGTGTTGATGAGACACGTGAAAATAAAACCAACCAGATCTTGAGCCATGAATCAAAGTCAGACAAAAACTGTACTGGTAAGAAACTAATCGGAGTGAAGAACAGAATGCAGTAGCATGTAGCATGTATTCATTAATGTTTGAATTCCTTGTATTTAAGAATTAACAACTAGGAAATGGAAATAGTAGGAATGTGCTATATAGTGCAGAATTAAACTCTAAATCATGTTTTTGTATTTTAATGCTCTAATGTAGTCAGTGTTTTTTAGATGATGCTTCTATTGGTATTCTTAAGAATTAACAATCAGATCAGAGCCTGGATAGGCACCTTTATTGTGTATGATGAAGATGAAGTGATGGCATTTGGATAAAATTCCTGTCATAAGGCCTGGTAGATCTGTCTGCACTGGAACTGAAGAATTTTTGGTGTACTGCTGTCGGCTGTCCCTGGTAGTAATCCAGTTGTGACTTGGGGATTTGCTTGTGGGACTAAACACAAATATGCTGGGTTGTGCCCCTCGCAGCCTGGACCCCCTTCAGCGTAGACATTTCCTTTAGAAAGGGGATAACAAATCTTACCTGTTTGCACTCTCAAAAGTGATATGATCAATCTTCCAGTAAGATATCTCAGTGCAGGAATTTACTTTTCACTCTGTTGCCTGCAGTATGATTCTTTCCAAAAACACAAGGACAGAGAACTCTTCTTCTCTGCTAAGAATTAAAAAAAAAAAAAAAAATCTGAAAGATTTTTCAAGCCAGACCAAACATTTGTAGAGTCATGTGTCTGATGCCTAACTGGTAAGTTTGTTTATGTTGTAGATGAACATCAGCTTTCTGCTAAGACAAAAGCACATGAGGTGTCAAGCACCAGTTCTACAAGTCTTCAACAAGGTAAGCCTGATCTTGTTGAGGAGCCAGATGCTAAAACTACTTTCAAGCCTGACAAACATGCTGATGAACTCATGAAAGATGCTGATGAATCTGTATCAAAAGTTATAGATTGGTTTAAAAGAAGTTCTGGTACTGAAGATAGGAAACATGCATCAGCCAGATCCCAAGGCAGGGAACCCAAAGAGGAAATGGACTTCTCATCCAGAACCTCAGTTCTTCCCACGGAACACAGTGGGCCTAGCACGGATGGAGAAGCCAAAATTACAAAAGAGTTACCGTTTGGAAAGATTAAACAATGGAATAGTATTTCGCCAATGTCATCTATTTCAGAAGGTACACAGCTGATACAAGAGAGGATGAAACCCAAGAAAGGAGAAGAGAATGAGGAGCAAAATGACAAATCACTAACTGAATTTGACTGTACAAGAGTTGAAGAAAGAGATTGTGGTCAAGAAATAAAGCCACAAAATAAAAAATCAAATTTCCTGGAACATCAAGAACACAAACTACCAGCTCAGAAATGTGAATCGGAGAAGGCAATACGAGAAAAAAGAAGAATAAAGGAGATCAGAGCATTCTGGGAAAGAGGTAGCACTATCCCCAGTCACGGAGAGAAGGAACTTAGTATCAGTACTAATGCATCAGGTGGTGGCACATTGAAAGGTCCCAGAGAAAGTGACAAAATAAAACCTACTGCAGTATGCCTACCTAATGGATTGGATGATCAAAGCAAGAATCTGGTAAGAAGTGCTGAACTAAGCTGTGCGAGCCAGGCTTCAAGAAATGAACATCAAAACTCTTTTGAGTTTGGACTAGGCCATGCGGTTGAAAAAATAGAAAGAACACTTCCATCTGATGGTGAAGTTCATGAATATACAGTATTGCCAAAAGCCAGTAACTTGCAGCCAAGAGTTGGTGCCACTTCAGCTTCCCCAGGAAGCAAAGACAAGGAAGCACTTAAAGGAGAAGCTGCTGCTTGTTCCCCACAGAAGCACAGCTTCCAGGTTTTGTCTTTAAAAGCAAAAATGAAAGAAAAGTCCAAGAATCAAATTTCAGATCCTTCACAGTTCCAGAGTTTGAGAAACTTCTGGGATACTGGAGTTAAATTACAGAATAGCACTGATAGGGGAGATGTTTCTTTGCTAAATAATATTAGTTCAATAACCTATGAAAGAAAATCAAAGGAAGATAAAAATGGCAGAGATAATGTGAGTAAGCAGGAGTTAATTCAACAACAAACCCAAACATCTGAGAGAGAAAAACCACAGAAATTAGATTCTGTGACATGTGAACTGCCTCTAGAATCGCCTACCCTGAAAGGTCTGAATGTGACACACACAAAAAACACAGACTCTGTCTGGCGGGACAGGAAACCGGTTATCTCAAAACCCCAGGAAAAGATGGGTCTTCCAGAGCAAGAAGTTGAAGAATGTATAAAAAAAGGTGTTGTTTCATCAGAAGAACATCATGTTTCCTTGCAGTTGCTCCAATCACCTGGTGATAAAGATGCTTTAAAGGAAGCAGTAGATGATGGGCTATGTTCACCTATAGAAAAAGTGGGGAAAAAGACTACTCCACTAGATGTCAGTCTCCCTAAAGAGGAAGTTGCAGAGACTGTGGATAAGGTGGTTTTACCTAAAGCTGAGCCTGACATATTCAAATTAGGCCTAAAGAAGTTAGAAAAGGAAGCCTCTGAGATGTCATGTAGCTTGAACCAAGAAGAAAATGTTTTGAAAGAGACAACTTTTCACTCAAATCGGTGCAGGGTTGTTGAAAGAACAGTAGCACAAAGCCATGACACTTCTGCTGATCAAAAAGAAGAAATGAGCAAAAGCACAGGAAAAATGAATGTGCCATCAACAGATGAGCATGAGAGCAAAAAAGGCCTCAGGAAACTGTTTAGGGAATTTGAACCTCTCTGTCTGCGACATCAGACAGCAGACAAGGGTAATACTCTTGAGGGTTCTCAGAGTCCTCAAGCTGATTTGCAGAACCTGCTCAGAGAAACCTTTGCATCTCAACCTTCTGAATATACAAGGGTGGGAATGAAAACTTTCAATGACATGAATAGTGTATCACGAACTAATTGTAGTGTAGAATCAACATGCCAGGAAGATACTGGTCAGCCTGAAGAGGTCAATGAGACCACAGAAAAGTCTGTTGCCCCATCCAGGGTCAGTGGCTTGAGTTCTGCTTTAGAGAAGCTGATGAAGGAGGCCTCTGAAGCACCACCTCCCAAACGAAAACGTGCCAACGGCACAGTACAGAGGACCGCTGAGGTGGAAGTTAAAAGCAAGACCTATGAGCATGATGGAGAGTTGCTGCAGGAAATCAGTGAGACCATAGAAAAGTCTGTTGTCCCATCTGAGGTTGGTGGCTTGAGTTGTGCTTTAGAGAAGCTGATGAAGGAGGCCTCTGAAATGTCACCTCCCAAACCAAAATGTGCTGACAAGGCAGTACGTTGGCCTGCTGAGGTGGAAGTTAAAAGCATGACCTATGAATGTGATGGAGAGTTGCCACAGGAAATCAGTGAGACCATAGAAAGATCTGTACTGTCCAAGGCTGAATATGAAGTATTTGATGTTAATTTGCAGAAATTACTGAAAGAGGTCTCTGAAATACCATCTTCTGTGCTGGAAAATATGGATAAGAAAGTGCAAGGTAAAATACAGACTAGTCAAAGTGTGCATGCTCCCCATCAACAAGAGAGAGATCCTCCTCAAGAAATACAAGAAACAATAGAAAGAAGTTCTGTTTCAAATATTACAAAATTCAGTGAATTCAGTAACTCTTTAGAACAGCTTGTTCAAGAAGCATCTGAAGCTTCACCTCCAATACCCAAAGAGTTATATGAACAAGAAAAGTTTGGGGGTCATATGTTTCCATCACAAAAAGAGACACTATTCGTGACAATGTCACGGCCATACAGTGCTTTAAGTAGCTATCATACACCGATGAAGATAGCTATCAAAGGGGGAACTCCAGAACAAAATATCAAAGCTTCAGTAAACTATCTTGCAGTAAGTGAAACTGAAGCTTCTGATCTTACTAAAAGAAATGGAGCTATTAATGAAATGGAAAAGAGAAACATGGCTCCTGTTGATCTTCCTCCCTTGGAAGGAGAGACCGATATGATTGCAAGCAAGCCATTCAAGCTAAATGAAAAAGGAAGGAGAGATGAAAGCATATCCTTGGATGTCCCTGAAAATAATTCAGAATTTAAAGCACTGTTGAGATTCAGAAGAGCAAGCACGCCACTTAAAGATGAAAACGACTCACCCCAGCCAGAAGGAGCTCAGCTATGCCTAATGTCACAGCATGAGGGTAATGATGAAAAGGAAGGGGATGGCTCAAATTTGGGATCGAAGTTTTCAGATGAAAACTCAGAGTCTCACTCTGGAACCAGCAGTTCAGCTCGTGAGCTGTTTGATTACTAAAATGCATGGTGCTGGGTTGTTAAACATGGCTACAATTTTTTTGGCAGCCAACTTGAAATATGTTAACCCAAAGTCTGTGTGATACTTATTTCTTAATTGAGTGCTTTGGATATTTGTTCAGGAAGAACTAATTAAGTCCTTTAATTGGATGGTGTTTGACAAAGACTTACTGCATTTGGGTAAGCCTCTTCGGTAAGGGGAGCTTAGCAGCATGAATCAATTGCCTCAGTCTTCATGATTTAGCCTTTTCTTCCTCTGCTGTGACATCACCTTCAAATTATTAACATTGTAACATTGAAAATCTGGTATTTCTTTTAAATATACTGGATTAAAAGAGGCAAAAAAAAAAAATAATCAGCGGCTGACTGAGTTTGTTCTTTAGTTTGACCAGTCAGTCTTCAAAAGTAAATACTTACCAGTGGAATGGCTGGACATAAAGACGATACCAATACTCTGTGCTACTTCATTTAGCATTGCTGCCTGTTGCACTGGAAAGTGGCCGTATAAACAAAGGGGTCTGTTTACCGGGGTTCTTACTGATTGTTTGAATGGCAGCTCTAGTCAATGCATACAGCGTGATAGTCATCGAAGAGCTTAAGGCAGAGGAGGTAATTTAACCTTTCTAATCTGATCCTGAGAGACTGGGAGGATTTTCTTCACCTGTAGAATCTGAGAAATCTGTGAAGTTTCCAGGGCCTGCCAACTACTCTTGAGCCTATTTTGAAAGTGAGATTCCAATGGAAGTCAGGAAAAACTCAAAACAAATAAGCAAAAATGAAACAGAACTTGTTTTTTACCCGTAATTACAGACAGCAACGCTGTAAGGCCTGGTTGGTTGGCTGATGGGGAGGAAAGCGAGCTAGGGAGGAGAGACAGCCTTAGAGGTTTCTGAAGGAGCTAGATCTGTCTTGATTCTGCCCTTGCAAACAATTGCATAATTTCAGGGATCTAAATATCTTCACAGCTGAGTGTTTTTTGTGGTTGTTACTCAAGTATTGAAACAAAATTACTTTCACTGGGCGGAAAATATAATAGACAGATTTACACAGATGGAAAAGTTAAAGCTGTTAACTTTGTGCCAATTCATAAGATGGTTATGAAATGGCTAAAGTCTGAGTTTATCCTATATTATTCTTAGATAATTAAGTGCCATGATTGCCCCAACCCCCTTATTAGTCAGTATGAACAGAGATACCTACACAGGGCAAACCAACCAACCTGCCTCTCTCTGCTGATGGCCGAGAGAATTGAGGCAGACAAATGGACACTTAAAACTAGGCATTTATTTTGTTTGCTTTGGATTTATTTTGTGTTGTCACTGAATGTTTCCTGTCTTTGCTAACAGTCAAAATAAATTCTCATGAGAAATCCATGGCTGTTTTTTTTAGTGACTTGCTTAAAATGGCCCGTCTGTGTGTGCAGTGTTCATGTGTTTTGTCTCGTAACAGGTTCAGAAGAAGAATTAAGCCCTGTTTTGATGGCTTTGAAAAGGAGTGCAGATAGGAAAATGCCTTCCAAAAGTCTAGAGGACATTCCATCAGCCATCTCAAGTGAGCACAAAGCTTGTGTGTGTCTCCCGTGACCCCAGTTTGGCTTAAACGTGTTCATGCTAGTCTTCCATACAGCTTTGCCAAGTAGTGTTTTTGTCCTTGTTTCTCCATAAGCCCTATGGAGCTTGTACTGTAGAACTGAATTCTTCTCTTGTATGGTTTAGTTTTCAGTTCTTTGTGTTAAGTTTGAAACAGCACTGGTCTATGAAGCAGACATCTTCCAAAAATGCACTGTGTTAATCGGTGATGAACTGTTTCTTGGCTAGTTTTTCAATAGTGAAAGTATTGGCAGCTACCCAAATCAGTAATGAGCAGCTACTGCCACTGCCTCCTGGCTGCTTGGTGGGTCAAATCAGTAGACCATGGAAGCATGAAAAAATCATCGTAGTTTAGTAGTGTTTCACCTGTGTATTATTATAGCAGTTATTATACCAAATTCACTTTAAGGGAATACAGTGAGACAAGACTGTACTTAAAATTCATTCCTCACTTCCCTCTGTAGCCTCCTAGGATTGTTTTTAATGATTACTCCTGTCTCCCTTCACCCCGCCCCTGACTGTTTTCATGCTCATCTCGTGTCTAACGGGGAGGACATAAACTGAACTTAGATCCGTAAATGGAAGTGTGGAGGTGTAGATTTTGAAAGATGTTGGCTATGGTTGGCAAACTACTCTTCTAATACTACTTACGCTATTGCTTGCTTCTGACTAGTTTCTAGGTTTCAGGTATGCACTAACAGTTGCAACAGCACGCTGATAGAACCTGTGTCAACAAGAGGCTGCTGCTTGGATGTAGGCTTGAAGTAGTGTGTGAAGTAGAAAGCATCTCTTGAATTTAACCATTCCCATGCTCTGCTGGTTTGTTTGGGGTTTTGTCCTCGTTACTCTTGATTCTGCGATTACCACTGCCCTCCGTTTTACCACACTGAACAGCGAAATTTCTAACTGTGTGTTACTTTTTTCCTGCACAGATAAAGGAAAAATAAATAATCCAAAGGAAGAATTAGCTCTTAGTGCTGAAGATGGTAAATATCTTTTGTGTCTGCATGGTAGTTTGTTGTTTTTTTCAATGGCCTCTATTTGCTAGTGAAGGATTTTTTTTAAAAACCAAGAATTGTATTGCACTTTTAGATTTGATTAACTTCAGCGTGACTGAAATGCTTCTGTAGAATTTTGCTGTGTTGTTTTATTCTTGAGGAATGTACTTCTGTTATGTCCTGCTGTATCAGTGGAAACTCTGTGCCACCTACCAGTGCCTTATTTTGGCCTTTGGTCTTTCAGCCTATGAAACAGTCACTAAAATCATTGAGAGCTTTGAACATTGGCTCAGTTGAAAGATTTGGCCTAAGTAAACACTGAATTTGTCTGTTCATCTGTTGCATTATATGACGCAAGATGACTTTTGCTAGTGCAAAATACCCTTCAGAGTACATCAGTTGAGAAGGAACCTCTCTTGCAATCCCTCTCTCAATCCAGCAAAGTAGAATTACAACAAGCAACAGATGAACTGCTAAACTGGCTACTGTTGACATCATCAGTCCATTGGTGCATTACAGATGCCTTACTGTTAAATTTTTCTATATCCTTTAGAAATTCCAAATTAAGCAAAATAAAAGTGAACCTGCTCCAAGAACATGTCAAGATGAACACAATAGAAAACCATCCACTAACATTGAATACAGTGGAATATAACACGCAGTTCTTTATTTACTGCATCGGAGCACTACAGTTTTAAAAAATAGTTGTGCGCAGTCGTGCTTAGTGACACGTTTTAGATGATTTAAAGCATTTTGCATGTTAGCAGCCTATAGTATAAACAGGATGATCATAGCATAATAGGATGCATGCAATGTACGGTAAATTAACAGGACCGAAGTACTGTACTGCACTTTGGTCTCAAATGGAGACCCCTGCCAAAAGCGTGTTTGGACTCTGCAGACACTTATCTGAAAAGGGGGGGGTTTTTTTGAGTTAAATTTATTGAGAGTGAAGTTTTGAAAAAATGGCCCACAGCCAAATCGATAGCTGTACAGACAGAACAAAGCAAGTTCTCTTGAAAATACTGTTCATCTTGTTGCTTTGCTTAGCTTGTACACTCGGGTTACCTTTGTTCTGATCCAGCTCCTCAAAGGAGGACAGTGATGCAAAACAAACACGTGGGGTCTGGGGAAGTCAAAAACTTCCCACCTATAAAATATATTGATGCTCTTTATAACATTGCAAAACTGTTTCTGCTACTGAATGACTGTTGTCAATACTGCACTGAGCAGGTCCGAAACCTGATCAGCATCAAGAGAGGAATGAAAATGCAGCAGGAAGTGAGTAATAGGATTCTTCCAGCAGACAACGGGGAGAATTCTCCACTGATATTTAAACTAATACATTAAAAATGCTTTTTTAATTTAACAACTAACAAGTTAAACATCTGGACTAGATACTTGCTCAGTGGGACAACTGCATCTAACTGCATACTCACAATAACCGATATGTTGAGCACTATTTGAGCTTCCACAGCAAGAGCTTTGCAAAAGCTTAACTTACACCTTGCAAACAATCCCGTGTGTGCAGTGTTTCATTTTATGCAATAGATATGTGCCCCGGTAGCTGGCTGTTTGTTGCCAGATAATTATCTGTCGTACTGTGTTGGTGCATTTCACAGTGTGTCTCCAGTCCAAAGATACAGAGCTTCAGTGCAGTATTAAATATAAGAAGTGGAGTTAGAGCCTGGAAAATGCTGAGAATTGTGGGGTTACTGCAAACTGGATTTTTGCAAGGCTAGCTTGTGCAATTAAGCTTTGTACAGTGAAAGAGCATAGAAGAGAAAATTTGGTAAAGATATACAAAAGCCGAAGAGATGGGCTGCAAAAAAGTGCATCATTAATGAGAGATCTATCTTATAATTAACTAGGAATACTTGAAACTTCCTTGTTCAGGTCTAAAAATTGCTTGATTTACACAACCGTTTCTATTGCAATTAATTAGACTGAGTAGATAAAAGAGTTTGGCTTGTACACTAACTTCTTACCAAGAACTGTAAGATGACTCTGATGTCAGTGATGGTATAGTTAGTGCATGAGCATGCTTGTCCTTGTTCTAAGAAGAAAATCTAGAAGGTAAAGTGAAAATGTTTTCTTCATCATATTTGATCAGAGTTTGCTTGCAGCATCCAGGCTTGTACATCATGTCAAGCAATGTAAACATTTCTGCTCCTGCCAGAAAGTTCTTTGGTCAGTGTTATAGGAGGTGTCAAAGTAGATTATCCTTCCTAATGACAGCTTCTCCAAGTCCTGGGGCAGGGGGGTGGGGGGGAAATCTTGTCTCCGAGTTCTAAACTGGTCGTGCATGTCTTTCATCTGAAGTTGTTTCTAACCATGTCCTGTTACGGGCTCGCTGTTTTGATGTACAAATGTATTTTTGAAGCCTTTTGAATTGCTGCTCTTCAGTTTCCACAGTGCCTTCACAGCCAGATAAGCTGGTTTCCAATCCTGAAAAACTCAAAGGACTGAGCAAGTCAGTACCATCATTCCTACAGGAAGAGGTAAGTTCCATCTGTGAAATCTTGTAACTGAAACTTTTGATTTCTCTTGCGTTTTGCATTTGTCAAGTAGTGCTTTTCAGGGTCTGCCAAGGCAGTTTACTATTGGATCATGGCATGCAGTTGAGCTTGTGGTGCAATAGTCAGGAGATGATCCCAAACAACCTGTGGCTAATTAACCTTTCAGAAGCTCCTAGAGGTTTATTCTTGCTGTACAGCTCAACATACAGAGCATGTTTTATCTAGGAGATTGAAGCATAGTGAATGCTTGCTGTTATTGCCCAAAGGCAATGTCTAGCCTTAAACTAACCTCAGAACATACCTCTTCAGAGCCTAAGATCTAAAATGAGTGTATAGGACCATAAGAAAGTCACCATCTAATAACCCTGCTCAGAGGGTTATTAGCTTGGTGTTCTGCTTAGGGGACGTAGGTTCAGGTGCCAGGCTATTAAGTCCTTGGAAGTGAAACTTCAAAACTTCTGATAACATACTGTGCTTGTAATAGTAATAGCCTGTAAGTCTATTATCTTTACTATTGTTGTTGTTATCCTCGTCATCATGGTGTGGGCCTTGGAATAAGCTCTGAGGCCGTATTTGAGTCTCCTAAAATGACAATGAAGTTTGAAAGTGATAAGTGATTTGAACTGCCTGGTCTAGGACTTCCCAAACAGTCAGTAAAGAGAGGAGAGGAGACAGTGTTTAGACCAAGCGTGAACCTCCTACCATAAATGCCTGAAAGAGGTAGCTCCATTGGGCACAGGGGACAGGAAGCTCTGGAGAATAGGAAATACCTCGTCATTGCTGAACTTGGATAACACCGCAGATCTTTTTTTTCCTTTTTTTTTTTTCTCTCTTTTGAGGGCATAGTATGAATGTGAATGTGTATGGCAAATGTGCCAGCAAAACTCCCCCTGCCCCGAGCTGTTAGCAAATGGTTGTACAAATGCCTGAGTCCTGTCGACGAGGGGTGTGTATTAGTGGGCACAGAAATTTGGGGCATAGATATCACAAAAATCCCTCTGTGCTATAAAATGAGGAACTGCAGCTTACCCCAGCCGCTATCACTCTAACTGCAGCATGAGCATCAATATTTTGGATTATTTTTCTAAAAACATGTGTCTAAAAGGACTGAAGGGTCAGAATCAGGAATATGTCTTGCCCTACTCCCTCCTAAAGTCTGAAATAACCAAAATGTGGTGATACAGGTTTGATTAATCTTGCATTAAGTGCACATGAATTACACCTCTTCAGTTAAAGATTCTCTAAAATTACACCATCCTAATGCCCCTTCAGCACAGGAAACTTAGTTCTAAGGCTGTTGTGATATGCCCATGGTGCAATGTTAAGATTAACATTTTGAAGCATTAGAATTGGGATACCACACAAGCCTGAAATGAGTATCTGGGCATCTAAAACCAACCAGTTACGGCCTCTGTAAGAAGCCAAATAAAAAGCTTACTCATGTGGGTTTTGAATGAAACAGTCCAACAAATACTTGAAAGCCAAAGGACTATATGTAATCAGTCTGGTCATGGTAGGAGGGGTTTGGGGATGGTTCCTACTGATATTCTAAGAAATTGTCAGCGCTCAAATATGTTTATTCTGCTCCCTCAATTTATTTTTAAAATTGTGATTAGTCCCAATACAGTCTTGAGTTATCAGGCTCACAGGATCTATTACAAGACATGCATGCCCACGCGTGCACACACACATACACACACGTGTATATATATATTAAAAAATAGTGCATATACTCTATTACAAGACATGCATGTCCACGCGTGCACACACACATACACACACATGTGTATATATATATTAAAAAATAGTGCATATATATGTAAAAATAGGGTGTATGTATATCACGTGCTGGTTCTGCCTTGGAGTTTATCATCACTGAAGTACCATCTGGCCAATACGAAGCATGAACCTAATGAATGGATAACATAAATCTGGTACAAACCACAGGTTAGAAATAAGCATTATAGACACCATCTAGTCATGATTGTATTAACACTCATGACTATGTGCTAGTTCAGTTCTGGAATTATTTTAAAAATAATGAATTCTGATAATAACATACTTTCTAAACACAAAGAATTCTCTTAGAGTACTGGTGTCTCTTCCTTCTTCTTAAAAGAGATAACAGCCTAAAAAATTAAGGGTTCTGTACTTGTGAATAGTAATAATATCCTTATTTAACATTTGGAATGAACTTGGAAAACAAAAAAACCACACACGTAATGTCATGCAGTCACCCCAGTGCTTAATAATTCCTTGTCTCTGAACTTCCAGACATTCCACAAACCTCCACGAGAAGGGCTTTGACTGTTCCCAGCCAGAGAGCAGGCTTTGCAGAGCAAATTAAGGACAGGGTTGAAAGTAAGCAGAACTGGGTTCAGTCCTGGATCTATTCTGCTGCTCTGTGGACAGCAGCTAAAACGGTCTTTAGGGGAGCCATATATCCTTCCTCTGTAAGAGGGTTTAGGGCTTTCCTGCCTTTTAAAGAGTCTGTGTAACAGGACTGATTATCCACACTGCTTGACTGTTGCTTCACGCCCTGGATTTATTTTGGACAGTCTGAAATAACGCTCTCCAAAACAATTTTTCTCTCAAGGACCATTATCCTAGGTGGGATGGACATTATTCGGGCCTTCCCTTTGGCCTCTGAACTGGGGAACAATCCTGGCCTGCTTCTACTTAGCAGTGTAGACATAGCCAGAGAAGCTACAATCAGTGGATCTTTATAAAGAGTTATTCAAAATGCTTATGTGCTAGATATTTTTCTCTATAAATATTCATTTTCTTAATGTGTGTAGAAATTGTTGTTTACTAATCGTGCATCTGTTAGTAGAAGATCTATGACAGCAGTTCAAAACTGTATGAGGAGGGGGGGAAGCCTTGTAAATTGTTCATGGGTGGAGTACAACAGGGAGATGATGCTTTCTGTAACAGCTTGCATAGGAAGATGCCAAGACACTTGTGGGAAGTAAAGCATCGATTCTGTCGTACAGTGACAGCGCTGAGGCAGACCGGGGTTGTAAGCACGTAACCTGACAGCCACCGAGTAAACCAAAGCTGCAGTTCCCTGGTGGAAAAGCAGGGCCCTGCTTGCCCTCTTGTGAGAGAGGCTTTTTGCAAAAGCCGTCCGCTGCATCCAGCGCTGTTGTACTGTGCGTGCTGCCTGCTGGCTGGCTGCCTTCAGGGCAGAGGGTGCGGGATGGGTGGTATCTGCTGTATAACAGAAAGGGACTGGTAAGAGACCTGAGCATTATTGCTTGCTTAAGTTTTTGCGTGAGATAGAGTTTAATCGACCCAATAAAGTAACTTTGTACTTTTGCATTGCTATTTGAGATTTAAAACTGAAGAACAAACCTGGTTCCATTACTGCTTTAAAATTTTTTTCAGTGTAGGCTTTCCATCAGAAAAATTCCCTTTCAACTCTTTAAGTGCGTGACCCAATTCAAAAAATATTAATTACTCATGTTGCACTACAAGGGAATTTAAACTCAGGTTTTCACTGAGTCTCAATCTGCATTAAAATTCTGTTTGTTTTTTGTTGTGTTTTTTTTTTTTTCTAATGTGCCTTGTAACTATAAAGAACCTACACAGACTTTCTTTCTGTGATGTTTTTGTAGAGTGATGACAGAGAGACAGACACAGCATCAGAAAGCAGTTATTCCCTTCGCAGAATCAAGAAGAGTCCCAGCTCTCTAACCAATCTTAGCGGCTCTTCTGGCATGGCCTCCTTATCCTCTGTATGTAAACCAAAGCCTTGTTTTAGTGACACTTTGCTTTTGCTAATCTCTTCAGTGTTGTCTCAGCTCCCTTTTTACTCATCTTTCATCTCTTGGCATCTCTGTCTCCTTCTTCCCTTCCCTCTCTGTTATGTGAACTCTTGCATGCAATGCCTAAACCAAATAAAATTGGTTTGATGTTTTTTGTTTCCTAGTAATATACTAGAGCCTGTTCAGGACTGCACTGTGCAGCATACTTTATGAAAGGGATGGCTCTTACCCTAAGAGCTTACATTGTTGCTGAAAACGAGGGTCAATTTATATAGAACAAACATTGAGAAGAGGAAAAAGGGAGAGAAATAAGTGAAAGCAAGAGACAGTATTGGTATGTGAGGTGTGTAATTAAGTCAGTGAACTAGCTAACCAAAAGTCATTAATTTATGGGGGCTTTATGGGCGAAAGTAGAATTTTGGGGAAGGATATTGAGATTAAAAAAATATTGTATATCCTTCTCTTTCTACATATGTAGTGTTTCATTTTCAGTGTTTTATCTAGATACATAATTCAGCCACATAGACTTTATCACTCATCTTTTGGTCAGTATTTTCAGAAGGCCTGCTGTCCTAAACTCTTAGGATCTGCTTTCTGCAAAGAAGATCAGCTGAAGAGATACAGAAGTAGTATTTCAAGGATCTGATCACAGGCAGTCTCCAGATCTACAGCATCCTATCATTTTATTTTTTATATTTCAATGCAATAAACACATTCAAAATTTTTTTTTTGGTAGAAAACTTGGCCTAACACCTTTGACTTCCAAATAACTTTCTTTTGTTAATCTGCTTGCCGAGAAGCTTGTGTAATAGTGTCCATTACATGTCATTATTACCTCTAAAGGGACACAGTTGATTTCTTTACTGTCTGAATTCTGAGCACAACTTCTACCCTAGTCTTGAAGTATCTGGTGCAATGCAATGCCTGGAAAATTTTTCTCCTCTTGTATGATACAGGTCAGTGGAAGTCTGATGAGCATCTATAGTGCAGACTTTGGCAATGTTGATGTGAAAGGGAACATCCAGTTTGCTATTGATTATGTAGAACAGCTGAAAGAGCTCCACGTTTTTATTTGCCAGTGTAAAGACTTGGCAGTGGCAGATGTTAAGCGACAGCGTTCAGACCCGTAAGTACCGAGAATATATTTATTTCCTAATGGAAGCTTTTATTTTACTATGAAAATGGAAACTGATGGTGGTTTTCCAATCTCTCTAACCTCTTGGAATAAACAACCCAATAAGTAAATGGAGAGGCTATAACATGCTTTACATGGATTTCCACTCTGAACTGAATATAGAATTGCACTATAAATTGGTACATACATTAACACGGGAGGCTCAAATGTTTAAGAACACAAAACTCTCTTTTAAAATTCAACTTTCCAGATGGGAAAACCTACTTTGATAAGTTTTCAACAGGATTACAGCCTATAAATAAGGTATCTAGGCATAATATATTTAAATATTCTGTATTTGTATGTGTTGAGGAGACACAGATTTCCCCCTGGTAGAAGGAGGCTAATGTCCCACTGTGGAAACTATTGTTTTACTTCGCTATCACTGTTCCATTTCTTAAATGTAACAAAGCTGAACAACATAATGGCTAGTTAAGTGGATTTCTTTTACTTTATAAACAAATACTTGTGTGTTTTGGAAGGGGAAGTTGTAAAGACTGGGGTTTTTGCTCCTCTAACAAGCCTGTTTAAATTTTAGGTATGTAAAGACCTACTTGCTTCCAGAGAAATACAAGCTGGGCAAACGGAAGACCTCTGTCAAAAAGAAAACTTGTAATCCAGTCTATAACGAAATACTGCGGGTATTTATCAAACTATTACTGGATATGAAATACTGCGTGTGTGAAGTATGAGGAACCTTGACTTTAGATGGGTCTAGATGTTCTCAAAAGAGATGTTAGGATGAGATGGATTGCTCTGTAGAAGTACCTGGGTCCTTCCATGGATAGGTTAACTCTACAGCGTACTCTGGATGCAGCATTGAGAACACCCACTGTTGTATACTTCTTGCAAACAAACAGAAGCTAAGTATGCGCTCGAGATGCTTGAAATAGAAAGTAAAACATGAAAAGAGTTTTGTTCTGAAATGAAGTGAGCAGTTACGGATGTATAAACCCAGACATGTGTTTGTCTAACCTTGTCACTTTCAGAGACAGCGTTGATAACAATCCAGCTTGTTTTAATTCTTTTTTTTTTCTCATTTCCTCCTCCTGGCAGTATAAAATTGAGAAGGGTCTCTTAAAGAACCAAAGCCTTAACGTCTCTGTCTGGCACAACGATACCTTTGGGAGGAATAGCTTCCTTGGTGAAGTGGAGCTGGATTTAGGAACTTGGGACTGGAACGATAAATCCAACAAGCAGATCAACTGGTTTCCGCTCAAGCCAAGGGTAGGTTACTAAGGGTGGGTGAGCTGTTTTGTACTTTCCCCTGTGTAAGTGCAAACCCAAGTCATTATTTATTTAGGCCTGGTCTTGTGTGTTCTGTGGTTTTTGTGTTGGCTGTAATCATAAATACCTCTTTACTGGTAAATGGAACATCAAGTTCTGAGGTTTCCATTAGCCTAGTAAGTACCTAGCTATTGTAGTAGGAAAAACTTTCTCATAGTCTAAAGAGCAGGAATTTCAAGGTATTTTTCACTTAGATCATGTTGCTGCAACAGATACCTGAAGGCACTTGTTCCTTGAATATGAAGGAAACCTTCTGAGAACACGGAGCAAGTGCAGCAAGATTTTAATAACAGATGTAATGATGACTTCCATGTCTGTATGCCTCTTGTTTGTTAATGGGTTTCAGCCAAAACCTAAACTTTTAGATAAGGCACTGCCAGAGGTTCTGGTCTCTTTTGTTTTTCTTTTCTTTTTTCTTTTTTCTTTTTTTCCCCTTGAATTTACTTCATTAGTTCATTCCCAAATTAGCTCAATCCAAGTTTCATAGTCTGTAGAACCAAACAGCAGTCTTCAGCACTAGTTTAATTCAACCAATTTAAAAACTTCTCTGGGGAGATAAACGGAACCAAATGTTAACAGGTGCCATGTTCCATCTACACATGGTCCATGACTGTCTGCAGCGACATGTTCTTGTGCCTTTTTTGCAAGATAACGACCAATTTAAAAACTTCTCTGGGGGGATAAACAGAACCAAATGTTAACAGGTGCCATGTTCCTTCTACACATGGTCCATGACTGTCTGCAGTGACATGTTCTTGTGCCTTTTTTGCAAGATAACTCTTGTTGAGGCTGATTTTTAGATAGTATTAAATAAGACAAAACACTCCTATAGAAATGAGTTTATAAAAGTGCGCTTTCTGTTGCACAGAGAGTACGTTTCCTGATTGAAAGAGCATGTGTTCTGGTTTTAAATAAGTGCACAACAGTGTAAAAGCTGTGCCCTCAAAGCCTTTTGGCCTCTCCTGGGTCGTGTTTTCTGCTTCAGTGGAAGAGCTATGTATCTGTCAAGTGTTTAAACATGCCCTAACATCTCTCATGGGCTGTAAACTTAGGGGAGGACTAGTGGATAAGGAAAAAGAAAAAATAAAATTGCTTCATGTAGAAGTCAAGCTTGTTGTGGAAAACTTTGCACGGTAAACTCTGTGCATGGACTGCAAGGTTTGAGATTTGTGGGTTTTGTTGTATTTTTTGGTTGTGTGGTTTTTTTTTTTCCTTCAGTTTCAGACTTCAACAATGGCTCTTAAACTAGAAAACAGAGGGGAGATGAAACTAGCCCTCCAGTATGTCCCACACCCTGTTGGAGGTATGCATTGCTGCTTTGTTTGGGATTATCAGGCTTTTTGGGTCTTTGTTCTCCCTTTTTTTTTTTTTAGGGAAAAAAAAAGCTGTTTAATGTTTTTCAGCCAATTCAGACATCTTGTTTTGACATAAAAGTAGAATTATTTTTTTTCTAGGATTAAGTCACCCCAATCATGAATTCAGTTTAGGATCCAAAGATCACTTCAGGACCTTTTTTTTGTTTTAATGTTACTACAGAAGAAATTACCTTATTGTTGTAATCTTAGATTTGTAATGTAAAATGTACGTGTTAAAAAAAAAAAATTGTTTTCTCACTAATTCTTTTAGAGATTATAAATCATGAGGCAGGTGCTGTGATTTGCTAAATAAACAGTGACAACACACTAAATTCAAGCAATATTAGAAATAGAAATAAGTGTTTAGAATGCAGCAATTTATAGCTGTTTGGTTTAATCCTGTCTGGCAACTGATAACTGGCTGATATGACAGTGAAGCCAGGCCAGGTCTTTAATCCAGCCAGTCAATCGGTAAGAACCAAATATATTTAGAGCACAAAGGAGCTTATTTGAAAGTACAAGCGGCAATAAATGCTAACATCACATAGACTGAAGACAAGCTGATCTCTTTATCTGCCAGGCTTGGAAAGAGAAGACTAGTAGCACATAGTTCTTTAGCTGTAAGAAAAGTCATTGTAGGAGTCCAGACATGGTGTGATCTTGCAGTACTCTGCTGGGATGAAGATTGCAGCTTCGAGAGTACAGAGAGGAATGTTGAGTAAAGATGTGAGATACTGAGGGTCTAGGCTGAATATCGTCTCTGCAAATGGGCAGGAATTGCTGCGTCATAGCAGTTACCTTCAAAAGGGATCTACAAGGCTTAATCAGGTGGAGTTTTATTTTGACAGGAAAGAAGACCCTGTATACTGGTGAGGTCCACATCTGGGTGAAGGAATGCCATGACCTTCCTCTTCTGAGAGGCAACAGGCTCAACTCTTTCATTAAGTGGTAAGAACTGTGGCTGAAGCCATCCAACACGGTGGCCTAATAATGCCGCTCTTGTGCTTTCCAGTCGTATCTTCATTTTTCTACATTCAAATTAAAAAACCCACGTAATCACTTTCTGATCCTCCTGTATTGTAATGCAATTTGTCCTGCAGGGCTTACAACTTCAAGATGCTAAGCCCTTGATACCACCAAGCAAAACACACCAGGAGAACTTCCTGCGTACTCGCTGCTCTTCCATTTTGTCTGCTCCGTTACCTGGCGGAAGGGCTAGTCAAAGTTGTGCCTGCTCTTATTCGCATTTAAACCACACGTGTTTGTGCAAGAGTAGGGTTTAGCTTAGCAAATCGTGGGAGGAGACAGCAGCGAGGAGCACAGTTGTACTCCTTCCTCCTTCCTTTCCACATACAGACTGAAAATGTAAAGAGACAAGAATAACAAGATGGCTGGGAAATCTCTGGCAGCAACAAAAAGGTTTCAGCGTCATTAGTGATAATACAGCAAATAACTCGCTTGTGCCTCTTCCCCACCTGACTTCCCCTTCCCTTCCACCTTCTGAAGCACAAGGCTGGAGACATGCTGCCAGTATTTCTTGGAAGGGACTGAGAACAGGACCTTTGACTTCATCTCTGTGATGCTAAAGCATCTCATCTTCAGTCACAGTGTTACTCAGCAGGTTTTGCCTATTCAGTGTGCTTAATGCAGGCTATGCTGTGCGAGTGCAAACTGACAATGCTTTTTTTTCTTTCTGAAGTACCATTCTGCCAGATACTAGCAGAAAAAGTCGCCAGAAAACAAGAACAGTGTCAAAAACTACAAACCCAGTATTCAACCACACCATGGTCTACGATGGCTTTAGACCAGAGGATTTGAAAGAAGCCTGCATAGAACTCACGGTCTGGGATCACAACAAACTCACCAACCACTTTCTGGGAGGTCTCAGGATAGGCCTTGGAACAGGTATGGGACAATTAACACACTAATCCTTAATTTACAAAATGCAGTCTTTCCTTTCTTCCCCCTTCCTTTCCATTTCTTTCTTTGCAAAGGTCACTGAACAGCCTTTCAGTTATGCATTTACGAAAGAGTTTCATTCAGTAACTTACCTGTTCTTCAGCACAGATCCTGAAATGTAAATAATAGTAGTGTTACGAGGGTTAGGATGACTGTCAGGTAAGGAGAAGTACGAGAAATAAGCCTTTGTCTGGCCATACATTGTATCTGGTACTGTTTGGAGTACAAGAATATGCTATTCCTGCACCCAAAATCTTGATAATGTCTTACAAAATTACCTAGTTTTTGCATGTGTGTGTGGTGTAAAGACAGTATTGGGTAGAGATAAAAGGAAGGATCAAGGATACGTGATAAGATTTGAAGACATTGGATAGGAAAACTTAAAGGCAAACAAGTTTTTAGGATAAGGACAACAGAAGAAGTGCAAGTAGAAGAACTGTATGTTTTCCCTATCATTGTATTCGTTCCTTTCATTGTTCCCTCTGGTCTGAGGGGAGGATGTGTTTGGAGTCTTTTCAAATACAAGAAAAAAATTACTTTTCCCAGATGAACTTCTTGCGTGGCTCACTAGAATAACCTAAAATACAACTCAGGGTAGTAAATCTCAGTTTGAATTTTAGAGTACCCAAGGTTGTATTTCAGTACAAAATCAGTGTCCTGCTTTATTCTTAAACCCTCCCAGATGTGAACTGCACATACATCTTTCTCCTTGGGATTGTGACAAAAAGACTGAGGGTAACAAGGAGAAAATTCCTGGAGAAAGAGGATGATGTTTCCTTGTGAAACTGTCGTTAATTGTATTTTGCAGAATTGATCAAGTGTAAAAGTAGAACTGGATCTTTAAAGCACTAGGTCAGCTGCCTGAGGAGGTGAAACCGTTTTAGGAGGCTGGCAAATCTGATTGTCTGCTCTCAACTCTGCAGCATATTAAGGAATGTTTCTCTTCAAAACTGACAATTTTCTAGGCAAGAGCTATGGAACTACAGTAGACTGGATGGATTCCACTTCAGATGAAACTGCCCTTTGGGAGAAGATGATGAACTCGCCGAACACATGGGTAGAAGATACGCTACCTCTCAGGATGCTAATGGTTGCAAAACTGACAAAATGAGGTGGCTTTTTAATTGCCAGGGTCAAAAAGAAACCTTGGGAATGAAATTAAAGGGGAGTGTGTGTGGGTGAAACTTGGAAGAGGAACACAGTAGCTCTTTTGACAGTCTCTGCTCTGTTGCTGTTCTGGTTTTGTGCTGTCAAATGTCACTTTGTATTTCAAATTAAACTTCAGCCCGCGGATTATGATGTAAATTTAAGGCATTCTTTTATTTCTTATTCGTTTTAAGTGACTTTAAGAAAGAAGGCACTTACAGAATGCAGTGGTAGAGGTAGCTGTGATACCTGGCTGCTTGCGTTGCCAAACTGAAGTGTTGCCGATCCCTTAAATAATCTGAATTACCAGCAAAAAAATAAGAGCAAGTCAACTCTTTCTGTACACTCCTAGGATGGTTCATGAAGTGTTATTGATAAGACAGCAACAGGTTGCATTTTGTTCGTGCTCATTAGTATGTGTTTGTGTCCTCATTACGCCATGTCACATCTCTCCAGCGGGGAATACGAGCACGAAGAATTAAGCTCCTTTATTTGTAGTTGTACATTCCTAGGGTATGAAAGTCGCTTCTATAATGAAAAAGCGTTACATGAAGTGGTACTGTCGATGTTCTGTTCTGCAAGGTGCAGAGGACTGTTGGTTCCAATGTACTATAAAAAATCAGGGTTATGAAAGGTTTGCTTATATGTGTGTTAATCGCCTTGCTGGTGTACAGCCCTCACTCCTAACTGCTGCGGGAACAGGGGTGAAACTTTTTTTTATTCAAATGCTACTCTAAAGGATCTAAACCTGCCAATTTCAGTAAGAACAAGTATGTTGGGTATTTATTCTGTAAAGTGAACTTGTCTGTACCTGTGTCTCTTAGCTTGGGTATTTTGCAAAAAGTCATTCATTTGTGCTTCAGCGCCATCGTTAGGGGAACGCTGGGACAATGGTGGTCTTGGTTTATAGCTTTGAGCCTAGGAAATAGGACTGGAATCTGTAACTTGTAGGAATGCATGCTACTAAAAATAGATATGCATAAAATACAAAATGTATTACTTTTTTTTTTTAATGAAAGCAGCCTATTAAAGCTAAGTAGGAATCGAATGCTTATTAAAACCCTATGGTTTATGTTAGCAATTCAGCATGCAACGTGACAAAATGCAGACAGGAAAAATAAATGAGCAGTTGTGCAGGTCAAAAAGCTGGTGAAATCTTGCACCTCAGAGCAGAGAGGAGAGGGGGGCTCTTCACAGCTCCAGCCCAACTGCTGAATTTAATCATTGACATTTAAATGCTGCTTGGTATCTACGAAGTGGGGAGAGGAAAGGTGCGATTCAACCTGCTGGGGAACCCGCCTTCTCTCTCCTCCACCAGGCAGCCTGTGGAGCTCCCAAGCGCCGCGGTCAGGCTTGACCTCTTCCTGCTTCAGGCGCTGCGGATGAGACTGGTGGCTGCTGCAGGCTCCACTTGGCCAGCGACATGCAAAGTGTTATTCGTGTGTGACGAGGGAGCAGCGTGCGTGCGACACGTCGGAACAACGTGCTGGTACTGAACTGGTGCAGCAGCTGCTTTGCTTCTGTATTCCTAAACGGCCGCTCCCGAAAGGGTGGTGGTTCTGGAGAAGCAGAGGGGCACCTACTTCGTGTGTATTCGCTGCCTGTGCGGATTCATCTTCGCCTGAAAAAGTAGAGTGCTGTGAGCGTGACCTCCGATTTCACAGGGTTATCCTGTGGAGCTGAACTGCATCACTGTGTCAAGCAGCTTTGGGACATCAGCTGTAGGGATGGGATCTTGAGGCTCCGGATTCGCAGGCGAGCGTCATGGCACCCGCTGTGTTCTACACCATCTACACCTTCCATAGCTAAACTTGACTGCCGTGGAAACAAAGCGTTTGGTTGGCGAGTGTCAATCTCCTCGTCTTCTGGTCAAGCAGAGCATCTGTCTCGCTATTTGTGCACCATCCTAGAGGCAGACACAGCATTTTGTCATGATCTCGAAAGACACTGCTTACCGCTACACTACAGCCTAAACATGAAGGTAAGATTTACTGGTGTGCTGTGCTTGTAAATAATCAGTGTGATGAACTAGTGACACAGCAGTATTAGGCACTCACCTAGATCAACCACGAAACTGAGCCAAGTAATAAAACCAGGCCCTTTAGTACAAAAATTCAGCGCTTCTCCCCAGTTTTAATATCTTTTTTTCAGCATGTACAGAAAATGGAGACTATTATAGGCAAACCTGTGGAGATAGTTGTCACCACACACAAAAGTGAGTCTTCCTCGTGCCTCCACATCTCCAGGAGGGCAGCAGAGGCAGGCTCAGCAGCGTCTTTGAAAGGCACGGTAGCGCTTAACGACGCTAGGTATTTTGTTGTTGTCATTGGGAGTCTGCCATGGGGCCTGTGCCCAGCTATAGAGCTCCAAGTTAAGGATTTTCGGCAGAGCTTTAGCAGCTGCGCCCAGCATTTTTCTACTGTTTTACTGCTGCTGTGCACAAGAGAAGCCAAAGCTGTCCTGGTGAGATGAGCTTCAGCAGATGGGAAGGTCACAAACCAAGCTGCTTCGTCAGTGGAAAAAACACTTTGATTACCTTATGCATGCTGTAGAATTTCAGTACAGAGTGGAAACGTTGCATTTTCACC